TCTAGTGTGAAGTTGTGCTTCACCATCCGATGGACATGAAGACAACGAAGGCGAAGTACTTTGCTAAATGCCCGTCACGTTACGTCTAGCTCGATTTGCTCATACCAAACCTCGTCCTTGTTTTTCAAATCTCGGATGACACGGTGTAAGCTAGACGCCTGCGGTTGCTCTTTTACCACGATGAATAGAGAATGGACAGGATCCTGCAGGAGATGACCGATGATCAGGTGAGGCCAAAGCAAAAGACAGGCATCGGCGACGACGAGAAGGGCATTACGCGATCCGACAGATACGACATCGCCATCAGCACTGTAGACATGTATGTACGCTATTTCGAGTCCTACATTCGGCGCATTGCTGTGCAAGAGCGAGCACAAATACTTTTATACAGCCCTGAGAGTATCCCTGAGAGTCTCTTGAGCCATCGCTTTCGTTTTTGCTGATTGGATAAACAGGAGCACGCGAATTGGACGAGAGATCTGTGGTGTATATTGAGTCCCGCTATGTCGCGGGGAGTCAGAGACGCAGCCTTGGGTAGCGATTTCGCCATATCGAAGTGGATGAGGTCCACGGTGCTGTGGTCGCACAGCGGAAAGCGAAAGTCGAAGGCGCTGACCATATGCCTTCTTAATGCAACCTCGTCATTCATGACAGGGACGTGATGACTACCCTTTGGTGGCGGTGTCAGGATGCCCTGCGCCCCGAAGATTCTCGCGCTCGTTGAACTTTTGGACTATTGCACTTGCCATCTTATGCAAGTTTTCTGACAAGATCCAAAAGTCGGGTTGGTCGGCTACCTTGTGAACGTCTGACTCTCGAAGTGCACGTGGTGGATCGCTGTCATGAGCGAGCGCTAGGAATGCAACTCGTAGACTGCTCAAAGGTATCGTGTACGCTAGATGAGCTCCTGGATCTTGAATACCTAGGGCGGACGACTCTCGCGCACTGCCCGGCTTGGTGATGAATGTGTCGACAGCGTCGAGCGTGGCGAAAATGGGGAGAAGGCGTGCGCTAAACAAAGCTACGCATGTTTCAGCGTCAAGCAGTGTCAGCCGCCGAAGACGGGCGCCGGACTCGACTAGCTCAAGCAGACGACCTGACAAGGAGTTTGGAGGGGCATCGTCGATCAAGCGTTGCGACTCGCCCCAGGTCTCCAGCTTCAACGTGTGCCGGCCTTGTGCGTCTAGAGTGGAATTGACGTAGCCTAGCGAATCAGGCACCCATTCGGCTCGCTCGTCGCGAGACTCGTCTTCATCTTCTGCATCTTCGTCATCCCCGGAAGCCACTTCGTGGCAATCGTTTCCATTCTCGTCCCTAGTCTCGCGCTGATCGTCCGAAATCGCTACATCATCTTCCTCGTCCCGCCAACCATCCCAGTGATCCACACAGACCACTTCATCACCCACCCAATCTAGACTAATGCTGAGTTCTTCTATGTTGGCGATGATCCTCGTGTAGTGCGCTGGAGGATGCCAGAAAAGCTAGCGATCAGCTTCTATCCCTCACACCTCGCCTGGCATATGATGTGCTTCACCTGGAACGTAATAGTACGGTCTCGTGTCCTGTATGTCAAGACGCTTCACACAGCTCAGAGAAGCGATGGCACTCGCAAGAAATTTGGGCACTGGTGACGCTGTGTCGACCAGGCGTAGGTGCTCAGGTCTGACCAGACTAAGCAAAACATCCACCGCCTTCCAATAGTCACTGAAGCAGCTTATTCCCGGGACCGGACCCCTCCCATACGGTCCGTTGAAATCCCAAAAAACCTCTGGATCACTGCAAGCCTGGTCCCGGACCGTGAAGGCGTCGTCGTCGTAAAAGTCCGGCGACTCTGGAAAAGGCCAATTAGGCTCGTCGATCCGTTGACACATCTCGCACCTGCATGGCGGACTCCCCGCCGATTGTCGTGCAGCCATCTGCAGCTTGTACTGATCTTTATCCACCTTGAGACCATCCGGATGTGAGGGGTCGCCGCTGCTCCCGCCCCGGAAGGGCACGCGCAAGATGCGTCGTAGATCCATGAAAATCCTCTCTTGTAAGGGGGGCACAAATCGGACGCCGGGGTCCAACATTGTTGCAGTGAAGTAATAGCCCCAAGTGTGATTGGCAAAATTGCACATGGGATAATTCCCGCCCACCTCAAGTGATTGAATCTCCTTTCGAAGCCATGGAAAGGTCTTGTAAGTCTCAATGTGAGCCAGGACTCTATCGACAGGTGCCTCGAGATGGCGCCACTTGGCAGCCATCACGATGCGAAACCAGTATTGGGACTGCGGCGGAGGGCTGAGCATGGTAAGCAGAAGGGCGCAGGCTGCCCGCTCGCGGAAGCGCAAGGGCCAGAGATCCTCACGATAGCGAGCAGCACATGTTCCTCGAGGCGATAAGATTCTTGTTTGCGTGGCGAGTGAAATTCGCGTATAGTGTGCATGATCTCCGCGGGCAAGCGAAGGAAAGGGTCGGAGCAAGCATGTGAAACCATTGTAGACCACTTCTTCACAGCTGACGACAGCAAGTTGAGAGTGTTCTTGCACTGGTCACGTAACGTTGTCCGCGACTCAAGTCTGTTGCAGAAAGGTTTCTGAACTCAGGGTCTAGCGCAACGCTAGAAATGAGGCCAAGTGGAAATCGAAGAAGACAAGCTACAGCGCGGTGGGAAGTGATGAGGAACAATGGAGATTGGGAATTACGAGCTGAAAGAACAAAGTCCTGGTTGATAGATCTACATCAGCAGTGTGAGTCGTGAGCACGAGTGCGTGCGCTCTCGTACCCCCCATGAGATGAGGAGTTTTGCTTCAAGCGAATCAAGAATCATCATGTACGTACCCTATCTACATGCGGGCCTTCACCACGTCAAGACGCGCACGACAGAACGTGAATCAAAATCGTGAATGAAGCACAGATGCGCCGGCCGCGGCAAGACACGCGGAGGTATGTAGGGCCGTGACTCATGCATGCGCGCGGCTTGTCTTATGCGGCTGGGCGTTCTGACCATGTGGTGCATGGTATCGCTTTTTGTTCCGCCGCTGTTGCGTGTGGACTCCTGCTGTGCATCGCGAATCTTGAATGTGGATCTTTACGTGAATAGATGCGTAGCTGATGAAACTTTTCTTGCCCTCCGCAACAGGCCTACCATGACCGACACTCACCACTGACAACCCGTGACTTCAATTCAGGAGCAGTGATTCGGGCATGCAGTTCGAGTCACGGTTCAAGAGTCAAGGGATCGAGTGTGACAGTCACGATCATGAGTCATGAGTGTGAGTGTGCATACGGCCCTCCTGCTGTGTGCGTGCATGACCTGCGTGGCTCGCACGATACCGCTGTGAAAGACGTGCTGCGCGAAAAGAGCTGTGGTAGGTACGTATTACGATTATTCAGGATCACACACGTGATTGCGACTCAAAACTGTCACACACATCCACTCTTGGGCTACAATCGCACAGTCAATCGTGGCTGGAGCTTCAAAGCCGTGCTGCATGGGGACTCACTACATGAGTGTAGTGAAATTTGAGTGTAGGCGCATGCTGTCCTTGCCTTGCTGTTCTGTCGCGCGCAGCCCCATGATCCACACGCGGTCGGACAATCCAATCACATTTACATGCAGCGGTGAGGTACGACTGAACAATCGCATCAACATGCAGGCGGGCAAAGATTCCAGATTCTGTGCTACGCCTCATGTAGGATATGCCACCAAGCGCTATTTGTCCCGTATCTCAACCCTCAAGGTCCAAAGGTGAAGAGCGAGCGACACGCCGCGCGATATCTGTTGAAGACGCGAAGTTAGCGTCAGTCGCACCGCGTGGTCGCCATCCGATGCACGCCCAACCGGACCCTTCAGCATTCTTTTGCGCCCGCCTCGACGGCATTCGCGACTGACAGGGAGACGCCTCAGTGCCGCCAAGAGCTACCCATTACATGCACAGGCTTGTCCGATCACTTTCTTTGCAGCGCCGACTTTTGGAGGTGAAGGTAGGGCAGCTGGAGTAGGAGACATACGCCGCTGCCGCGCCGCACAACTCAAGCAAGAGAAGCACGCAGCGTAATTCAGGTCTCTCGCGCTCGCACGAGGAGCCGCGTGCTTCATCCGATAAGAGCTCCAGTATGCCTAGCTTTCACAGGGGAATGAAGACTCGAAGATAGCCCAAACCGCGTGGCATTCGACGACGGATTTAGGCAATCAAACTCACAAGGCGTGGCGAGCCGTTCGTGACGTGCTTTGGAAGTCCCCAGGCTGCTGACACGCGCTCAAGAGCATGTGAGCTTTCATGCCAATGGCGGTGCTAGCATCTGCTACGCCTCCTCGCTGATACTTCCACGTGAATAGACGCCACATGTTGCAGCTAGTACGATCGTCCACTTCATGTGTCGTGATCAAGGCGCCAGATGGAGCTGCAGAGCCCTGTGACAGGACTTATCCAGCCGTATAAGGCAGACCATCGGCCTTGGTCGAAGGAGGTTGGTAGTATACGCTGTCGCAGTGGAGCACTGCATCGGACACTATGTCCCTGGCTGCTGCGTCTTGGGCACGACAGGACGGTGTTCAGAGTGTACACCTTCTCGCAAGCTGGTAGTGAATGGATGACAGCCTCAGTTTGAAGCGCAAGGTCTTGGTTTCGACCTCGTGATCCGTGGCAATGTCTGCTCCGTAGACTTCCGCGAGGTCCGCCCTACGCAACCTTTCCAGGAGCAGTGAACGGCAGGACTGCCCCTTTGATAGGCGACGAGCAAGACTAAAAAGCGCCTGTGAATCGGATGTCGCTCGATATGTCTTTCTTTGTCCTCATCTCTTGCGGCGCTCTGGTAGTGCCGCCCGTTCTCCCGTATTTTCTCACCACAGGTTGCTGAGCATCCTCTCTCGGCTCCCCTCCGGCTCTCACGTGCTTTGTCCCTTCTCCGTCCCCTCTCGCACCTACCTCTCTATCGCGCTGCATTCTGCCTTGAGCTGGTCTCAACATGTTTTACCGCGTGTCCCTGATGTCCAGTATCGCGTTGATGTTACTGATCAACATTCCTTGCAAGGCGGCAGGTTCTCCGGTGCAAGATTTTCCTATTCATTCCCACGACGGACGCGATGTAAGTGCCTGCGGCTGTCACTGCTGCGCTGAGTCGCTTTCACTGACCTTGTTGCATCACTCTGTGGTGTGTTCAGCTGCAGCGCGGCTCGGTGGAGGCTGGTCAACGTGTGCGCGAGTTCCATCCCCGGGCCGGCGGTGACAGGAGCTCTTGGCGAAGTAACAATGCGGTTCTCTGTGACAAGAAACTCAACGATGACATGAAGACCGGGAGTTATGCCACCCATTGCAAGAACAAGCAGGGTTTCGAGTATCGGACTGTGCGTGCCACAGATCCCGATGGAACGCTGAAGAGCGTGCCGAGTTGGGAAACGAATCACTTGAGTGGCAAGGATCTGAAAGGCGAATGCGAACACTTCGTCGAGAAGCGTATCATCACCTCACTTTTCATGCCGGACTTGGCGGAATACATGCGCAAAGACGATCCGACTACCTTTCCGGATACTGCGGCCGCAGAAGCGAAAATATGTTCGGCCATCAAGGCAAATCTTGACGCATGGAAGACGGGCATGGTCAACCCTTTGAATGATAGACCAAATCTGATTGGCGTACCTTCCACTGTGAATCAGCTCAAGACCGCGATGCTTCGTGTCTTTTTAGAGAAGGGTAGCACTCGCTACAAGTGGCCGGCCGGTGAAAAGGGCGACAGCCTCCTCAACAACAACAAAGCCGCGCCTGGCTTGAAATCGTAAGTGTCAACAGACTGTCTGATCCTGCTCCTCTTCTGACGGTGCCTTATGCCCAGATACATCACGGACGCTGGTCGCCGAGCGACCGCCGACACTACGACAGCAAATATGCAGACGGCTGTGGTCGATATTCTGCACGCCGCCGGATGGGTTCCAAAGACCAAGTACGATGAGGGGAAATGGAAACAGCTCGGCAATCAGATGTACGACCAGATGAGAGACTCCATCAGTGATATGGAGCAAGAGATCGCCGCGGCGCCACTTATTCATTGCGGCATGAATCCAAATGGATACTACGACCCGCCGAAAACATTGAAGCGAAAGAAGGGGGGCCCTCCACCTCCACCCCCACCCCCACCCGTAAAGGTTCCTACCAATGACCCCATCACGGGTTGCTGCAAGAAGGAAGATTACCCCGACTCCGACATCTCTGAGAGATGGCGCCCATCAAACACGGACTTCCAGCCAGGAAATGGGTCCGGGAACCCAAACCAGTGCTCTCGCAAGAGTTGTGACCCAAAGGTACAATGCTGTCTCAAAGCTGACGGGAAGACGCGCAAAGACGCGCCATCGAGACGTCCTCCAGGTCGACGAGAGATGCTGAGTGGTCCCATATTGGCCGGCATGATGCAATCCCGCGCCGAGACCAAGGACTGCAAGAATAAGTCGGGCGACGACGAGGACAGAACGACAGTCAATGAGGCAGAGGCCGCGAACGCAGTAGTGGACCAGTTACACGCCAGCAACCCAGCGACGGTGGCAAAACTCCAAGACCCCGCAAAAGGTGGAGATCCATACGCAATCAGCCAGCTTAAAAAAGCCTTGACGGCAGGCTCCGTGCCAGCAGCAGCAGCACTTGCGGCGGCCGCAGTGGCCGCGCCAGCCGCAGCTGCAGCACTTTCAGCAGCGGCAGCTGCTGCACCGGCGGCAGCAACAGCCGTGGCTGCGGTCGTAGCTGCGCCTGAGGCAGCAGCAGCAGCAGCCGCGATAGCAGCACTCTCCACCGCAGCTAGCACCAGTTTGCCAGCCTATCAAGCGCTTGACAATGCAGCGAAGACGAGCAAAGAAGCAGCAACCGCATTTTCAAAACTCGGCTCTCCACCCCCTCAGGACAGCGGGCCGACTGGCGGAGATGACGGAGGAGCAGGAGCGGCTACTAGCAGAACTTCTTCCTCCGTCCTGCCAACGTCGACTACAGCGCCCACTGACTCCTTGATTCCAATAGCCGCCATGACATCCTCTAGCACTTCGCCAAAGCCCACTGCGACGCCTACCGAGACGGGACGCGACCCGACAGACACCACGACCAAGCCCCCGGGGAATGCCGGCATTCCCAACCGAAGATTTGTCCACCCTTGACCACAATATCTGCGCGACCTGCTCTGTCTTTGACACGTCGCTGGGCGACATTATGGGTGAAATTACATCCCACATTCCTTTTGTTCTTTGATCAGTGATGCTTCCTGAGTCGATGCGCTTGGCGCTGCGAAGCATGTTATTCGTAGAATGTCATTCCGCTGTTCTATTTTGTACTTGATCATCTGGCCCAAAGGCGCTTCTCGTGGTCTCGATTGTCATCGTGTAGGCATCACTTATTTTTGAAGTGAATCGCAATTCACACATTTGTGACTATTTGGCGAACATCGAAGAGACATCATGAAGCTGGC